ATCTTTTCACACAAAAATCCTTTAAAATTAATTGGCACACCCAATATACGAGTCGATTCATATCTCCGTGAATAATTTTGAAGATGAAAGACACCTTCGCCATCTTATGTCTCTCCTCAAGCGTAATCATTTGTAGAAACAGCAGTCTATGCTCATATTTTGGTACTCGCAACTGTTCCATTGTTTTTTGTATTGATTTTATTCTCTTTCACATATTGTTATAGTGTGGATTCCAAATGTCTACTCTTTTTCATCCATACTCGATGATTGGCAACACAAATGTAAAATAAACACGTTTTATTTTCCATGGATCGACAAAATCTTTGCTGTAGAATTTTTGCTAAATTAGTGATTTGAAATTCATCTGCACATCAAGCAACACTCTCAAGTCCTTTATTACAAAAATCTTACAATTTGAATGCCGACGATTTTGTAATTACAGGGTCTCACGAAGCAGGGTGAATTTCGAAAAATCCTTTGGGCTGTATGTTTGGGGTAAAAAATAGAAAATTTCTATCGGAGCAGAGTTTTCAACATTACCACATTGAAAGTTTTCATTCAAATGGGAATATGAAAATTATACCATCTGGCAAAAAAGTACGGGTTCAATTTGCGCTCTCAATATTTCATGCAAATATGGACTTTTTGAATTCCCGATATGAACAAAATATGAAAGATTAATAACCAAATTATGATTCTGCATCGTTTTTGAGGTCAATCAGTGAAAGATGAGGAGAGGTGTCCTAATTAGGTACACTTTTTAAAAATTTCCAATTTTGCATTTTTCCGACATCGGTGCACGCAACGGTTTTACACAACAAACATAAGACCGTGAAATGTTATGTTTGTAATCGAAAGACAATGACAAGCGTTTGAGTTTTAATGTAAATGTCAGTACAATATCTACTGTTAATTTTTGCCGCACAAAAAAAAATTACATCTGTAAAAATTCAGCCATCTGGTGGTAAAATTTTACTGTCACACACATAAATTATTTTTCATAACCTGATAGAGATCAGTTTTCATTATTTCACTTAATCGAAACCAATTGAGCTAGAAAATATGTCATCATCAGCTGCCCTTCCACCACCGGTGAATGTTTCACCATTGATTCGTGTGAGTATAATTATATGTGTTTAAAAAACAAACTATTCAAATTTATTTATACATATAAAAAGTTCAGATTGGTTCAGATTCAGTGCTTATATAACATATTAATGATTTATATTTTATTCATTTTCAGTTTGGTCGTTGGTCATTATTAACAGCTGGCATCTTGTATGGTGCTTATCATCATAATCGATTGTCTAAGAAAGAAACCATCAATCGCAAGCTTGAAGCTGAAAGAAAAATAATCCGTGATGCACAGCTTGCAATCGAAAAAAAGAAGAATTACGAAGGTAGTCAATACCACTGTGAAGTATGACATTTTTTATTTTTATTAAATATAATATTTTCAGAGGAAATGAGAGCTTTGGAAGAATTGTCACGTCCATCGAAACAAATTGCAGCTTAAACAGGTTACTTTCAATCAGCCTGTTTTCAATTCAAATGTCCAATTTGTACGAGGTTTATTGCGACTATACTTCAAATATCATACATCATTAAGGATGATATAAAATAGAAATCAATTATTGTCAAAAGGCATATTGAAATAAAAGAAATAAAACGTGAAGAAAAGAGGTTTTATTTTTATGCTTACATAACTTTTACCTAGAGTTGATCAGAAGAAAAGAATGAAAAAAATGGAAATGAATCAATAGCTATTAGGAAATGGAACAGAATGAAAAATGAAATTATCAAAGAAAGTGTATAGTTTAAGCGCAAAATCAATGACCAACAACATTGCTTAAATTTGAGATTTGGTAGTAGTAGTAGTAGTTGAGATCGCTGATCACTGTGAAAAGAAAAACATTAATATGCTTACTATTGAATAGTACTGGTTGCCAAGGCCACTGAATCAGAAAAAAAAAGAAAGAAAAGAAACATAAAATAAATCACCATTAATTAATAAATCAGTCACCAATGAATGAAACCAAAATAATAATTGGTGTAATTGCAAACGATACATAACTTTTACCTTCTATTTAAAAGCACTGTGCGACAGTGATTTTGTGCGAATCATAAGACCTACCATTCATGATGGGGGGGGGAGCAGTCCTGAGATTACGGCATGACCATTGGTTTCTCTGGTTTAGCGATTTGTTATTATATACAACCATACACTACATTCAAAAATAGTTTTTTTTTTCAGAATAGTGAAATTTACCGCCATTTAATATATTTATTTTTGAAAATTGTGTAGTCGAGGTTTTTTGGTATCAGAAAACCGAAACTGTCATTTATTTTGTGATACGATGAAATTTTGATACACTTTCCATACAAAAATCTAAAAAAATAATACAAAAAATGTGAGTACCCTTATTTTTTGATTGAAATTTCTACTTACATTTACAAACAAAAAATTCATACATTCACTATAGTACACAAATGTGGACTTCATTTTATTACAAGAATTAGCGACTGCTAGATAAAATGAAATATCAAAAGCGCCTATTTATTTCCAATTTGTCTAGGGGCAAATCATGAAAACAAATGCATCATTTTTGAATAAATATGCTGTGCTTTCAATGA